AGAGGCCATTGAAATGTATTCTGCATATGTGAGTAACTTATTAATTATGATGGATTTTCTACAGGCAGCGGACAAGGAGGTGGCAATGACTGGCCACATTAAGTCTGAAAGGGACTTATTTATAACTGGAACTCAAGCTGGATTAACGCCCGTGGGTGTCGAACACAGCATGTTTCATCCTAGCCAACACTATCGGACATATACGGTAGGACCTCCCACTGATGATCTTAAACATGTTCTACAACATTGTACAGGATGGCAGTCTGTTCCACGGCCAGCTGATCAGACAGGAGTAGCATAGTAGCCTCCTTACCCAAGTTTTATTTAATCTTCAATTTTAGTCGGCGGTCTTATATTTTATAGTCTACCCGATATCTTTGTTGTGTGTAAAATAAATAAAATTTACCGGTCTTTTATTATTTTCTTATCAATAGCAGGTAGTACATCTTGTACAAGTATTATAATATGGTGGACGACAGGATTTATGACATATATTTAAGGAAGGTGTTGTTTGTGGCCCTGCATCAGTTTATTTTGTCAAATATTGGGTCGTCTGCTCTTGGAAATTTTCGACACAACCTTATGGAAATATTGATGTTTGACCACAATATTTTGGGGTAAACTGCCGAAATGCCCCCTGAACTTGTACATAATTATCAATTTACCTCCTGACCCTTTTTTTTAGCGAATTAAGGACTCAAACTAAATTTTATTCTCAATTTTCCCCTTGCCGTCCAAATTCTCAACATTTCATCCAATTTTTAGTTCAGAAAAGAAAACCCTATCCCTACCCACAAACCCAAACCCATTCACGCCCTTTCCCCTATGATTTTTTCCCCATAGCCTTAAAGGTCCAGACCTCTTCACCTCACAAGTTCATTGCCCCTTCACCCAAAATCTCGACCCTAAATCGCACAACTCATCAATGGATTCAAGATCTGAATAAAGTGGGGCTGTTTGGAGGGTGGGGGCTGATGGGTTTGGTTGCATAAAGAGAGAGAGAGAGAGAGAGAGAGAGAGAGAGAGAGAGAGGGGCAGAGTCGCAGAGAGAGGGAGTCGTAGGGAGAGAGGGAAGAATAGGGTTTGGTTGCAGAGAGAGAGAGAAGAAAAGGGTGGGTAGGTCCCACCCCTCTGTTTATTAAAATATTTTTTTTTTCATTTTCTATGTCATACTATTTTATTTTACAGTATTTAATTATTTTTAACATATGAAATTACCAATTTGCCCTCATATTTAACGGCAAATTGGATGAAATGTTGATGCTTTAGACGGCAGGGGGAACATTGATAATAAAATTTAATTTGAGCCCTTAATTCGCTAAAAAAAAAGATCACGGGGTAAATTGATAGTTATGTACAAGTTCAGGGAGCAATTCGGCAGTTTACCCTAATGTCAATTGATGCAGGCCAAGGTATTTTCTTATTAGGGAAACGTACGTCGTATGGTGTTGTTAAAAGGTTTATATATGATATGATTCTTTAACAATCTAGTTCTGTTTACAAATCATGAGAAGAAACATCCATTTGACCAAAAGAAAAATGCCAAATCAAATCAACAGCAGTTTTAAGTTGACTTGGTGTTTTTGTTTGGAGAAAACAGAAATGTCTGCCTTCATTTCAAATTTGAGATTTTTCAACTCCCAATATGTTGATTTTTCAAACACAAGGCTGCAAAAGATTGTGAGAGCCAGGGCGGGACAGATGAATAAACCAAGTTGCTAAACTATAACAATGAAAGAATTATCTTCGTCGCACGCCATCTCCTCACAAGATTATGTGGTTATATGTTTTTGTCAAGACTCCAAAGTTTTTCAGCATTTCTCATAATTAGTGGCTGAGGTTTTTCTCCTACTTAATTAATTAATATTTAAAACTAATTGAGGCTTTTGGGCATATACAGAGAGAAACTCTAATGCAACGGAGATATCACTTTTTGCTATCTCAGTCAATAACGCAATAACACGTAAGATAATTTTTCCACATGTCATTATGTGTTGGGGATAGCAAAACAGTGTTATCTCCATTACAAGTAAGTTTTTTTGGTAATTGAAGACACAAATAAAGTGTTGCACACCAGATTACTCGGATGTGTTTACTCATATTCGACGTAAGGCTAATGAAGTTGCTCACCGTCTTACTCGCTTTACTATTAATATAGGTGATAGTTAACTAGTTCAAATAACTACCTGAGATCATGTATGCAAATATTCTCTCTCTCAATATTGCTTGTATTTAAAAATTTTAAAAAAAAAAAACTAATTGAGGCTTTAACAAAATCTATCAGCTACCAACAACCATGTATTTCAAATAGGGAAGAAAAGGTACACATCGTTTTAACAACTAAACCCAAGGAAGTTAGGGACCAGCCTTTTGGGGGTCACAATCAAAGTGAAGTTGCATCAACCAAGACGACCCTAAATCGCACAACTCATCAATGGATTCAAGATCTGAATAAAATGGGGCTGTTTGAAGGGTGGGGGTTGATGGGTTTGGTTGCATAAAGAGAGAGAGAGAGAGAGAGAGAGAGAGAGAGAGAGAGAGGGGCAGAGTCGCAGAGAGAGGGAGTCATAGGGAGAGAGGGAAGAATAGGGTTTGGTTGCAGAGAGAGAGAGACAATAGTCGCAGAGAGAGAGAGAAGAAAGGGTGGGTAGGTCCCACCCCTCTGTTTATTAAAATATATTTTTTTCATTTTCTATGTCATACTATTTTATTTTACAGTATTTAATTATTTTTAACATATGAAATTACCAATTTGCCCTAATATTTAACGGCAAATTGGATGAAATGTTGATGATTTAGACGGGCAGGGGGAACATTGATAATAAAATTTAATTTGAGCCCTTAATTCGCTAAAAAAAAAGGTCATAGGGTAAATTGATAGTTATGTACAAGTTCATGGGGCAATTCGGCAATTTACCCTAATGTCAATTGATGCAGGCCAAGGTATTTTCTTATTAGGGAAACGTACGTCGTATGGTGTTGTTAAAAAGTTTATATATGATATGATTCTTTAACAATCTAGTTCTGTTTACAAATCATGAGAAGAAACATCCATTTGACCAAAAGAAAAATGCCAAATCAAATCAACAGCAGTTTTAAGTTGACTTGGTGTTTTTGTTTGGAGAAAACAGAATTGTCTGCCTTCATTTCAAATTTGAGATTTTTCAACTCCCAATATGTTGATTTTTCAAACACAAGGCTGCAAAAGAGTGTGAGAGCCAGGGCGGGACAGATGAATGAACCAAGTTGCTAAACTATAACAATGAAAGAATTATCTTCGTCGCACGCCATCTCCTCACAAGATTATGTGGTTATATGTTTTTGTCAAGACTCCAAAGTTTTTCAGCATTTCTCATAATTAGTGGCTGAGGTTTTTCTCCTACTTAATTAATTAATATTTAAAACTAATTGAGGCTTTTGGGCATATACAGAGAGAAACTCTAACGCAACGGAGATATCACTTTTTGCTATCTCAATCAATAATGCAATAACACGTAGGATAATTTTTCCACATGTCATTATGTTTTGGGGATAGCAAAACAGTGTTATCTCCGTTACAAGTAAATTTTTTTGGTAATTGAAGACACAAATACAGTGTTGCACACCAGATTACTCAGATGTGTTTACTCATATTCGACGCAAGGCTAATGAAGTTGCTCACCGTCTTACTCGCTTTGCTATTAATACATGCGATAGATAACTAGTTCAAATAACTACCTGAGATCCTGTATGCAAATATTCTCTCTCTCAATATTGCTTGTATTTAAAAATTTTAAAAAAAAACTAATTGAGGCTTTAACAAAATCTATCAGCTACCAACAACCATGTATTTCAAATAGGGAAGAAAAGGTATACATCGTCCAAGGAAGTTAGGGACCAGCCTTTTGGGGGTCACAATCAAAGTGAAGTTGCATCAAACCAAGATATGAGAACCCCACGGCTGGCGTGGTAAACTATGATTTACATGTAGCATTTAGCATACACATTTGTTAATAATATTATATCA